AAAGGAGGAGAGGGGAAGAAGAGGTGAGGGAGAGGGAAGGAAATGGAGAAAGAGATTGTGTTCAAAATAAAATGGCTGGGTTCCCTTTCCAATGGGGACAGGACAGGAACAATTGTGATTAAGCTAAAGCAGGTGGAATTTAGATCAAATACGGGGAAGAATTCCATGAGTAGGGCTCTCAGATACAAGAGTGATGGAGGGAAAATGTAGAGTCAATAGTACAATTAATAGAGGCAAAGTGTTGTGGCAGAAAGACTGCTAGATACCTAGGTTCAACTCTCACCTCTGACACCTACCAGCTGTGTGGCCATAGGTCATAGTCATTTAACCACTCAGAGCCCCAGGTTTCTCATTTGCAAAATGGAGTACCTACCTCACAGAGTCTTATGAAGCTCAAATGTCTTCATGCATGTAAGTCAGACTAGCTGTTACTTATCACAATCTCATTTGATTCTCACACTAGCTCTATGAGATACATTCATGCTGCCTTTAGTGTATACATACTACACTTCCATTTTATGAATGAGGAAACTGAGTCTCAGAGAGCTGAGCCCAGGATCATACAGCTAATAACGGTCAGAAGTAGGATTTGAATGTAGGTCTTCTTGACTCTACTCGTTATACCACAATGTGTGTTCTAGGTGGTTGGGGGAGGGGAAACAAGAAATATGAAGACACAAAATAAATAGAATCCAAAGTCCTTGTCTCAGGGAGACATAAACCCCAACTTCGGGGAGTCATTGTTCTGATGGCAAAACCATAAGTCCTGCCCTCAGAGAGCTCCAAGTCTGACTGATGACTGATAGGATGTTTGGGGGGACCCTAATCCAAAGCAGGTGATACAGGTGAATTAGGAGAGCTGCCATCCCCACTCCCACCCAGGAGATGGCAGCCTGGAGTAGAGAGATCATTAGATTTAGAGTCAGAATACCTTAGCTACTAATTACCTGTGTAACCACAGTAAGTCAAGTTGCCAACCTAGGCCTCCATTTTCTCATTTGTAAATCAAAAGGGTTGGACTTCATGATCATAGGCTGCATTGAGACACAGAGTGGGGGCAGCTAGGTGGTGCAGTGGATAGAGCACAGGCCCTGAAGTCAGGAGGACCTGAGTTCAAATCCAGCCTCAGACCAAACACTTGACACTTACTAGCTGTGTGACCCTGGGCAAGTCACTTAACCCCAACTGCCCTAAAAAAAAAAAAAAGAGAGAGAGAGAGAGAGATACAGAGTGTCCAGAATGTAAGAAGTGACTGTCCCACCATCCTGTGCTCTGGCCAAACCCTATTTGGTCATTAGGTTCAGTTCTCTGTCATACTTAAGGAGGTTCATTGACAAGCTGGGTAAGACCCAGAGGAGGGAGGCAAGAAAGATGAGGGGACTGTATATCCTGCCCCAGAAGGACCTGGGATGTCTGGCCTGGAGAATGGAAGGCTTAGGAGAGGCACTGTAATGACCTTCAAATATCTCAAGGATGCTCATATGGAAGAAGGACTGGCTTTGCTCAGCTCCCATAAAGCAAAGAATTAGGAGCAATAAGTAGACATTGGAGAGAAGCAGATTTAGAGCAGATATCAGGAAAAGCTTCCCAACAATGAGAGCTGTCCAAGGGAGGAATGAAAGGGACGCCTCCCTCACCAGAAGTATTCAAGAAGAGGCCAGATAACTATTTATCAGGAATGTTATAAGAGGAGACTCATGGTGAGGTACAGGATGGCTAACTGGGGCTCAGGCCCAACCCAACTGAGTCTAAATGGGCTCAAAAGTCCTTTCCAATTCTGCGGTTCCATGAAAAGCACATTAGTTCCCATAAAAAAGGATACACAGTCACCCTCAGTCAGCCTCTTTAAGTTCTTTCACTCCAACTCATCCCCCATAGCCAATCACATGACCACCAGTCAAGATTAGGTCCTCAGCACCGCTCACCTTGACTATTGAAATAGCCTTCCAATTGAGTTCCCTGCCTCCAGTCTCTGCCTCTCCAATCTGCTCTTTACATAGCTGCCGAAACAGTATTCTTTTTTTTTTTTTTTTTTTTTTTTTTTTTTTTTTTTTTTTTTTTT